CGCAAGTCACTCTTAGTTCAATTTGATTCAAGTTTTAAAAACTTTAAACATTTCGAGTCGTAATATTTCACGAAGATCGCGAGTTGATAGACACGTTCGAAGATCGTAGATATTTTCTATTTGAATGTATAGGAAATCTATATACGAATATAAATCTCACAGCTCATTTGATCACTCAACTAAAATTTCAATCAATATAAAAAAATAAAAAAACAACAAAAAACAAGATCTGTCCTTCGATTGCATCCACTCTCTGGCTGTAGATCAGAGTAAATTTGCGTATTGCTTACATTCGAGTGCCCACTCCTCCATGTTGTGGATGGCGTCCCGTATGCGCGCCACATCCCTGTCGCACAGGGCGTCGTCGTAGGTGCTGCGCGGCTCGCTACTCCGGGCGAGCTGAATGCCCGTGCTATTGGCTACGGCCGCCTGTTGCGAGGCCAAGTCGAAGAACTGAAAGGCCAGGCTGCTCTCCATGGGCGTCGAGTGCCCGGTCAGCAAGTTTTTCTCATTATTCGAGTATGCGGTGCTCGCGTTGGCCGGCAGCAGCAGCTGCAGCAGCAACGCCGCCGTCAGCAGACCCAGCTTATAGGGCTGCTCCATAATTGCCTGCGGCTCCTTCTTTTCTTAATCCTGAGGCGCGTAAGACCGAGCTGCTCGCCAGCTAATCAATGATGCGTACGATTTTGAGCGTGCGGCTAACTAATTCTATTGGCAATCGATAGAATCGCTTTTATAGCCCAAAGTGTCCACTTCAGGTGAGGTGAACGTCGTCGTCATCGTCGTCGTCGGGGGTAGTAAGAGTTGGCGCGATGACCAAACGCTTTTGCCCTGAAATTTATAAATAAGTTTTCAAATATGCACACTGATACAGTTGCTGGCTAAAACGAAAACTGATAAGCAACTCTATAATCAATTGCTTATCTTTCCGGCAAGCTGAGCGCTCGCTTGGTAGCCAGAGCAGCGCGGATTTAGCTGGGATTTGTCGCTTGTGCTCGCCCTCGCACTCGCACGCTCCACAGGTGTAAATTATGTCAAAGCAGCCTTTAAAACTGTACAGATAACCCGTTTAGGATTTATAGCCGAACATAGTTTAATTACTGGAAAGCCCGAAAACAAAAACAAAAACAGACTAAGCCAAACAATTGAACTTTGATTGCCGTGCGAGGTGGGCAAGGTGTGAGTAAACCTCTCTTAGCTCCTGCTTCTAGTCCCAGTTACCCTTTGATCACAACATTATCAATATTGTTCGTGAGATGTGTGGGCGATTCCGTAATCTCCTCACATTGAGGGCCAAATACTATACACATGACATTTGTAAATCAAACACTTCACATATGAAATGTGGGCCTGGCCATAACTCTCGAATCCCACCTTGAGCTGAACGAGTATATCGAAGTTAAGAAACCAAATCAGTGTTGAAGTGAGCTCAGCTCGGACTACAAAGCATATTTTGTATGTATCTAAAGTAAAAATCGGAATTTTATCTAGAATATGGTTGGGCGATTAAAGTGCTATGCGTCTTAATTATAAAATGTCTGGGTGTATTGGTTTCCTCAAAAGTATATGGCAAACCCCATAAACCCCATAAAATATATGTTCTTAATCAACGATCTGAGTCTCAGTACTATCCTTATGCATCCGACTGTCTAGGGTTTCGTAAATTCTTAATATATATTTATTTCAGTACGTATATGATAAAAGTTTTTTTTTTCGATAGCTCACCTCATTTCATTATTTTCTATAAAATA